AGGGGCGGGGTTTCTACTCTACGTGGTCATGAAGGGGCGGGGTGTCTACTCTATGTGGTCGTGAAGGGGCGGGGTTTCTACTCTACGTGGTCGTGAGGGGGCGGGGTTTCTACTCTACGTGGTCGTGAAGGGGCGGGGTTTCTACTCTATGTGGTCGTGAAGGGGCGGGGTTTCCTACTCTATGTGGTCGTGAAGGGGCGGGGTTTCTTTTCTACGTGGTTGTGAAAGGGCGGGGTTTCTACTCTACGTGGTCGTGAAGGGGCGGGGTTTCTACTCTACGTGGTCGTGAAGGGGCGGGGTTTCTACTCTACGTGGTCGTGAAGGGGCGGGGTTTCTACTCTATGTGGTCGTGAAGGGGCGGGGTTTCTCCTCTATGTGGTCGTGAAGGGGCGGGGTTTCCACTCTACGTGGTCGTGAAGGGGCAGGGTTTCTACTCTACGTGGTCATGAATGGGCTGGGTTTATACTCTATGTGGTCGTGAAGGGGCGGGGTTTCTACTCTATGTGGTCGTGAAGGGGCGGGGTTTCTACTCTATGTGGTCGTGAAGGGGCGGGGTTTCTACTCTACGTGGTCGTGAAGGGGCGGGGTTTCTACTCTATGTGGCCGTGAAGGGGCGGGGTTTCTACTCTATGTGGTCGTGAAGGGGCGGGGTTTCTACTCTATGTGGTCGTGAAGGGGCGGGGTTTCTACTCTATGTGGCCGTGAAGGGGCGGGGTTTCTACTCTACGTGGTCGTGAAGGGGCGGGGTTTCTACTCTATGTGGTCGTGAAGGGGCGGGGTTTCTACTCTACGTGGTCGTGAAGGGGCGGGGTTTCTACTCTATGTGGTCATGAAGGGGCGGGGTTTCTACTCTATGTGGTCGTGAAGGGGCGGGGTTTCTACTCTATGTGTTAAAGGTGGCAGCCCTGAAAATGGCTCTCTCGCGGCGGCACTGCCCTGTGGAAGGGCCTCCCACTCGCCGCCGATATTTGGCCCACGATGGACGGGGCCTTTTGGAGGAGGTGGGAATGGCGCCGCTCGCTTTACTCCGGCTCCATTCGAGCTGCTGACGATCGGTGGGGCAACCATTTAAGGGGTGGGCCCCGTTTACACCCCAAGGCGAGGGAGATTCAAGGAAGTTGAACCCCATCGTTTGACCCCGGGGGAGGGTCAAATCTGAACTGGCGATCTCTTCTTTAACACGTGGCAGTAGCAGTAGTCGGGCTTTCGCGACCAATTTTATCCACAATAAAGTGGGGGTTTTCCTTTTAGTTGGATCGCGTAACTATTAAGGCGCCGTTAACCCCGCCACCACTCGACACAGCCGATTAGCAAGGGGTTTGTCACGTTCGCAGAAATGTGCCAATTAGTTACTAATTCAGCACGAACCGGTTTGTTTGTTTATTGGGAGAGTGAACCCACACCAAACAGAAAACAATTCGAGTACGGTGATGTTTCGATGGCAAATTACAACCAGCTTCGTCAGGCGATTATCCAGAATTCTGAATAAGAGACAACCTTTATTATGACGACCTCTGATTCGCAAGTGACGTGTGCATCCCAATGCCCCCACACCACCGCCACCACCCCCCCCCAAAAAAAAAACACACACACACAAAAACTATCATTAAACACAACTGTTGAGGGTAAAAATTGTTAGGATGGGACACGAAAGTATAGAGTGTAGGAGAGGCGCCTCGAACGTAAAACTCGCGTTGGGCCAGGCCGGGTTGTGAGAGTGATGAGCGCCAGAGTCGTGGGGGAGAGGGGAGCCATAGCCACGGACGGAGGCTGTCACTCACAGATAAAACACATATACATATTTATATTGTGTTCCTCCGCAAAATAAAAGGGTCGAGTCTCGAGACGCCTCAGCGGTTTGGGCACCGGTTAGTCGCTTGAGGGTGCAGCATCGTGAAGCGAGGCGGAGCGTCACGACAGAGGAGGGTGGGGGGGGTGGTGGTGGTGGGGGTGGTGGTGGTGGGTGGGGGTGGTGGTGGTGGTGGGGTGGTGGTGGGTGGTGGGGTGGCGGTGGGTGGGGTGGCGGTGGGTGGTGATGGGGTTGTGGTGGTGGGGTGATGGTGGTGGGGTGATGGTGGTGGGTGGTGGTGGTGGGGTGGCGGTGGGTGGTGGTGGTGGTGGGGTGGCGTTGGGTGGGGTGGCGGTGGGTGGTGGTGGGGTGGTGGTGGTGGGGTGATGGTGGTGATGGTGGTGGGGTGGTGATGGGGTGGTGGTGGTGACATCGGTCTGCAGGTCGTCTCAAGGACTTCCCGTGATAAACACTCGTTCAGTTGCCCGTTGGGTTAGGTTCCGAGTCCATAGTTTGCAATAAAAAAGCACAAAGTTAAAGTTACACATCTATGTTTGCGCGATATAACCCATAATAACCTCCATTGTGAATAATATTGGTCGCGAAAGCCTACGTGTTAAACTTACAAATTCGAAATCGATGTTTGTGACAAGATTTAACTCCGTGTTTTGCCCCATGTAGAACGAGTTATTTTTCAATACATATATATCACGTGAGCAAGATTGCAGAATAATAGTTCATCCAGATGTAGAGTTCTTGAAATATATATCTTTTTTTTATAATAGGGGTTTTCCCCTTTTTTCTGGCAACAAAACTGAAACCTTTTTACAAGGAATCATGTGTGCATTAACCACAATACTTGTGATCAAAATGCAAACAAAAAACACACTGATAATATATGCATTGTCCTTGAAACTGATTGGTCCACACCAGAGACAGCTTGCTTTTGAGCCTCGTCTCAATTGGTGCTAGACCAGAGGATGCCAAAAGGCATACAGCTAGAAAAAAAGGGAAAAACCCTATTATTATATTTTGGTACTGGCAAAGGAGGTCTAATGATGTAGATGCTTACTTTGATAGTGTCATTGTCTTTGAGCTGTACGCCTTTTGGCGTTCCAGTTCTATACTGGAAACCCAGCTGCAGCATCATAAGCACCGAATATAATTGATGTACCTACGAATCAGTGGGTGGCAGCCGTTTCTACACCACACGAGTCCACGCGTCTCTCCCCCAGCATAATCTGGATGCATATCGTATGTATTATGCATGTCGAATGTGCTATGTGCCCGTTTGTAGTTGAGCAGCCAGTGGTTGCACGCACAAATGTGTGTGTGTGTGTGTATCTGTGTATGCATGTGTGTGTGTAGCGTGTGGGGAGCGGTGGTGCAGTGGGTAGCGCTATGCTGCGCTACGAACCCAGCCGCCCGAGTTCGATTCCCGCTCACGGCCAACACCAGTGAGGATTATCTGAACCGGTACTGGGCCTCCCCTAGGTCGACTCAGCCTCAAATGAGTACCTGGTGCGGTGTGTAGTAAACATCGCCACTGGGGAGACAAAGGCGGCCGGGCGTGGTTGTTGTCCACCCACCCCCTCGTGTACCGTGCCGGACTTCATAGGTGCTCGCTAACAGCACTTGCCCCAACAGTCTGCTATATCTACACGGGGGATCTTCATATGTACATGCATTTATTTCGTCAAGTATACTGTTACGTTGTATATGCCGTAACTGTTATTGTAAACATTGGCTTTACGAGCGAGCAGTAGAAAAATCCACATTCCTATGCCATGGCCAGTCGTGCCATAGGTGGTACATCATTTTATCAACCCGGAGAGATGATGATGATGATGTTGAGCTGAGTAAACCCGCCAACCAGGATTTGAATTCGCAACCTTCTGGTTGTGAGCCGCTCACTCTGCTGCCCAGCCTCCGGGCCAGACATAAATGAATGATTTTGACAAATGTGCTCCCGGAACATCGCTCTGTTGTTGTTGTTAAACTGTTGGTGCGCACAGAGTACGAATGGCGGAGAGAGATCTACTGCGGCTGCTCTTTCATTTCCCGTGTCGTTCCCTTGCAAAAAAGCCACCGTAAGTGGTGACCCGGATCATTCTCCGTCCGAAGAAAATTCGATTCCACTGGCCGTGGTGGTGGTGGCGGTGGTGGTGGCGGTGGTGGCGGTGGTGGTGGTGGCCGTGGCGGTGGTGGCCGTGGTGTCGGTGGTGGCGGTGGTGGTGGCGGTGGTGGCCGTGGTGGCTGTGACCGTGGTGGCAGTGGTGGTGGTGGCGGTGGTGGCCGTGGTGGCCGTTGTGGTGGTGGTGGCAGTGGTGGTGGTGGCGGTGGTGGCCGTGGTGGCCATGGTGGTGGTGGCGGTGGTGGTGGCGGTGGTGGCGGCGGTGGTGGCGGTGGTGGCGGTGGCGGTGGCCGTGGCGATGGCAGCAAGAGAGATTTGTTGACTACGTTGTGTACACGGAGGAGGAAGCTCCGCCGGGCCGTCAATTGTATCGCAATTTCATTTTTCCGTCAAAAAAAGAAAGTCTCTCTCGCGCGTAAAACACCACAGATTGGTTTCCGTTGTCACGCGAGCACCGCATTCCCAGCCATGGCGACCATCGGTTGAAGGCGAGATCAGAAGCCAGCCCCCTGCCTGTGCTCTCGTTGCCCTTCACCAGAGGAGCTTGGAGAGTCCCCCCACTGAGCCCCACCACACGAGGCCTGCCAATCGACGGGTGTAGGCACGCACGGGTTTGATTCACACGAAAGTCTGTGGCGGGTTTTTTTTTACCACTCATTTTTTTTTCAATTTGGCTTAACGCGTAGTTAAAGGAGTTCGCGACGAATATCATTCATAATAAAGGTTTTTGGGTTAGATCGCGTAAGTAGAAGTGTGTCGTGACCCTCCACCACCCGACACAGCCAGTAAGGGGTTTGTTACGTAAACAAAACGTGACAATTGGTTATACTACTTCAGCCCACCGGTGTGTTGGAGAGTAAATCCACAACATTTAGAAAATATACAAAATGTACAATTGTAAATGTTGTGGATTTACAAAATTTACAATTGTAAATGTGATTTCCACAACATTGAGAACATTTAGAAAATCCACAACATTTAGAAAATTCACAACATTCACAATTGTATATTTTGTAAATCCACAACATTTACAATTGTAAATTTTGTAAATCCACAACATTTACAATTGTACATTTTGTAGATATACTGTTGTGGATTTACTGCTGTGGATTTACTCTCCAAAACATTTGCAATTGTAAGCACACCGGTCGGGTAAATCCACGTATTTTCTAAATCTTGTGGATTTACTCTCCAACACACCGGTGGGCTGAAGTAGTTTAACTAATTGGCACTTTTTGTTTACGTGACAAACCCCTTACTGGCTGTGTCGAGTGGTGGAGCGTTACGACACATTTACACTGACGCGATCTAACCCAAACACCTTTACTATGAATTATTTTTAGTTGTTTTTAAGCGCTGTTTATTGATTTATGTATTGCTCATCCTGTTAACGATACGATGGCTTGGGTTTCATGTCAATTATTTGTTGCTGTGTTGCTGCTTTAATTCGTTTGCACATTCCCAACGTGCAGCGTGCTGGGGCCGCCCCCACTGCCGAATGCCATGGCCTGTGGTCATCATCTTCGTAAAAAGATCTGCGGCCGAAATAATAAAGTCTGAATCTGAGTGAGTACAGCAGTATGGTAAAATAAAAATACTTAAACAACAACAACAACAAACAACCCATGACCGACGTGGCACGAGGAGAAGCCTCTATCGGCGAACTGAGAGTGGCTGGGAATCGTTTCATTTTTATTGCGAACGAGACGGGGGAGCGCCCGTCGCTGTACAACTCACCCCGGCGCTTGAGAATAGCGAGCGAAGGACGTGGCACGTGGCTGTGACTTGCACCCACGGGACAGGAGGAGGAGGAGGAGAGGGAAGAGGGGGGGGAGGGGACAGCGTTAAACGGCGTTGGCTAATTTCGGGCCGGCAGGTGCGAGCGGTGTGCGAAGGGCTCGACGCTGGGCAGGTGCGTTTACATTCTCTGCAGGGGTGGTACAGGAGCGTGAATGATGGGCAGCCGCTGCAGCCACCGCCTCCTCCTCCTCCTCGTCGTGAAAACCAATCTCGCATCTACTGTATCAACGCCGCACCAGCCCAACCCGCACAAACCGCGCAAACCGTGGCAGCAGATGGCCGACGCCCGAGGTGTGAATGGGAAATTAAATGAGACAAAAACTCTCCGGTGGAGGCGGGCGACCGCGGGTCATCCGGAGTGGACTGCGCACAACGGGCAACGGACGCAATGCCCCGAACCACACATACGGAGCAGACTTCATAGCGGCGATACACTGCTACTCCGCTGGCTCTTGACGCGGTTGTCTTTCTCGAACCAGCTGAATGTGAAATTGTAGCTGTTGCTTTGCATCCACATCAGCAGCAACACGCGCTCGGTGACCCTTCCAACTACTGGACGTCTGTGAGAAAAGAGCTTTATAGCTCATCTGATTCCTCTAGTATGACTAAATATTCTGATTATGAAACTGCCGGATTTCAGGGTAACGTGACAAATGCCGTTCGCTCTGCCGCTAAGCCTCTGGGGCTAGATATAAGTTAACTATTTGATTAATGTGCTTCTGGTACATCACACTCTGTTGTTGTTAAACTGTTGGTGCACGTAGAGTATGAATGGTGGAGAGAGTTCCACTGAAAGAACTGGGGCTGAGTGGTCCTTCCAACTATTGGAACAGCTGTAAAAAAAGAGCTTTATCGGATTCCTCCAGTATGAATACAAATTCTGATTCTGAAACTGCCCGAACTCAGGACAACATGACAAATGCCTTTTTCCTGCCCCCCCCCCTCTCCCTAGTGACGGCGGCTGGCTCGGATCGTCGGTGGGAGCGGGGCTGGAGTTGTGCTTGCCGGGGAGGCGGGGGTATAGTTAGTATTCCTAGCCGTCTGTACGAAAGCTCATTTGTTTAGAGCTGCTTTTTGTTTCGTTTGTTGTCCTTCCCCCACACTTCCAATCAGCAGCGTTGGCTAAGTACGGCGCGAATGAAGTTCAGCATGCATGCATGCATGCATATAAAAAACACAACGTAAAGTACAATTTGCATAATTACGTCGATTCCTGCCGATTTGCCAACACCAAATGCAATCTTGGGCAAGGCAGCAGAACAAAAGCAATCGATTCTATCCGAATCGATTGACGATCGACTGATGCGGTAAACCCATTTAGACGGCCGGGTTGGATAGACGCCGGGGGGGGGGGCGGGGGGGGAGGAGCCGCGGCAGTGGGGGAGAAGGGCGGCGGGTGGGGGGGGGGCATTTACGAAACGTCGCCCCGATGTTTCACCCTGCCGCGCCGGGAGATCGAGCTGCAGCAAACAACGACGTCGCAGGCGAACACGAGACGCGCAAGACTCGTCCAATGACACCGCCCTCAAAAGAACACAACAATACGCACTGGCATTAAGAAGGGGGGCCAATCTTGATTTGAAGCTTTCGTGACTGCAGGAATTGCATACTCTCTGGTTCTTTCGGTAAAGTCACGTGGGTATAAAATAAAATAAATCACGACGTTTCGGGCGCAACACAAGCGTCCGTCATCAGGTGCCGAAAGGACCAAAGAGTAAGGGGGCCAATATTTCGATTTAAGGCTTTCGTGACTGCAGGAAATTATATTCTTGGTTCTTTCGGTAAAGTCACCACGTAGAAGGGAAACAATAAAATAATAAAAATATAAAACAATAAAATTCTCACGACGTTTCGATTGCAACACAAGCAATCATCATCAGGCGTGAAACCCGCCACGGTGCTAACGTTAAGAAATAACCGCCACATTTTTTTTCAAATTTTCTTGCTGTGGTTTTCACACCTGATGATGATTGCTTGTGTTGCAATCGAAACGTCGCGAGAATTTTATTGTTTTATATTTTTATTATTTTATTATTGTTTCCCTTCTACGTGGTGACTTTACCGAAATAACCAAAGAGTAAGGGTGACAATATTGCTGAAAATTTCACGCGTCACCTCTGTTGATGTTTTCGCTGTTGCTGTCCTTGCAAGCGCGGTGCTATGTGGCGGGGGTGTCGAGTGGCCTTCTTGGCTTGCAAGTGGCGGTGTGCAAGTTTAAGACGCAGTAGCCGGATTTTGGCGACCAGCATCATCCGTAATACGGGGTTTTGTTTTGGCGGGGTCAGATCGCGAAAATAACATCGGCACAATACGGCGCGTTGTTTTTTTGGGGTGATGGGGAGGAGGTTAGATCGCGTTAGATCGCGTAAATCATTTTCATATTGTATAGATCGCGTAAATAATTAATACGTTCTCATCAATTGATATATTTACGCGATCTTCACCCAAACAAACAAACAAAAGACAAGCTGTATTATTCTTGATTTGAAGCTTTCGTGACTGCAGGAATCCATACTCTCTGGTTCTTTCGGTAAAGTCATCACGTAGGTAGAAACAATAATAAAATAAAACACGACGTTTCGGTCGCAACGCAAGCGTCCGTCTTCAGCCGTATTATACCGATGTGTGCGTCTGCAAACATCACGATCGCAACGAAGCCCTTTTGGAGACGGACGGAACGGACGGAACGGACGTCCGTCAAACCCCGTCGCTAGGACGGCGCATTCGGTCGCCCTTCGCTCAGCGACGGGGTCGTGGAAGGGGGGTTAGGTGGTCACTCCTTCAACTCCTACTGCCCCCACGGCCCTGGAACTTCATTCACCCCCACCCCCCACCCCCACGTCACACGCCGCGCCATCAAATACAATCGTTAGCCGCCACCCATCAGCGGCCACCCCTCGAACAACACCCGGGATGGAGGGTCGGGAGACATGCAACCATGGACCAAGGAGGCCATCGCCACGGCAAGATTAGACGGGGAGCAGGATTCCGGAGGGGTGCGAAAGATTAAAAAATAAATGCTCGTTGAGGTCGCCTCTCGTGGTTTTTTTTTCAATGTCAGACGTGTTTTGGTTATATCCCTCTCTCCTCTTGTCATCCCTTAATTATTATTATGACAACAAAAAGATGCACTTTCACCTTTCGGTGGGACCCACCTTGTATGGTTTGGAGCAGCGAGCCTGCTTCTCCCATCCTTCTACACCCCCCCCCCCCCCCTGCTTCTCATAACGGGGTTGGCTTCATGTTGAAGGCGTGTGTGTGTTACGTGTGTGAGTGTGTGTGTGTGTTACGTGTGTGAGTGTGTGTTACGTGTGTGAGTGTGTGTTACATGTGTGATTGTGTGTTACGTGTGTGAGTGTGTGTGAGTGTGTGTGTGCTACGTATGTTAGTTTAACAGCAGAGGTCTCACTCCGAATCAGTCGAGCGGCAATATCTTTTCATCGGTTGCGTAACGCTGTGTGGAAGCTACCTGGTCTGTCGCTCCGCACTAAGCTTCAGGTCTTCTCGGCCACGGTCATTCCTTCCTTTCTCTACGCTTGCGAAACGTGGACCCCCTTAATGGAACATCTTCGCCGGTTAAAACATTTAGGCTAGCCTGCCTACGATCCATCCTGGGTTTAACCAGGCTGGATTGTGTGAGGAGCTCACAAATCCTTGAAAGATCTGGGCACGGTCCCATCGGTGAGCTCCTCCGGCGGGCAAGGCTGCGATGGCTGGGTCATGTAGCCCGCATGCCCAGCCAAAGCATGCCGAAACAGCTTTTGTTCGGCCGGATTGAGGGGGCTAAGCGGGCGCGGCACGGGCTAGAGAAGAGATGGAGTGATGTGGTACAGGAGGACGTGGAGCTCCAATGTTTGGACGCCACGGTGGCTAGGAGATGTTAACTACCTCGCCTGGTATACAGGAGGTCGTGGGTTCGATCCCGACCCTGACGACGCCTGCTGTGTATTTGCTCTCTTTAACTCAATTGTAAATCTATCACATAACAATCATCTACCCCCACCCCGTAATGCGAAAAAACCTGGCCAGGACCCTCGTGAAAAAAAGTCACGAGGCACGGCAAATCTTTCCTCGGTGAAGCAAGTAGAATAACAACACGCGACATGAACAACGGAGCGTCGCAGGACGCCGAAACGTCCGCTGCGAACCGGCAACGGCGCTGGTGCTGTCCACGGGACAGCGCAGACCGCGGCATTAACCCAGGCGGGGTGGAGGGGGGGGGGTCCCTCACTGCCTCGCGGCACCACCGCTACCACCGCTGCCGCCACTCACAGCGATCGTGGGCTCCACCGACGACAGGTCGGTCTTGACCGTCACGAGGTTGCCCGTGGACCGCGCGCTGCTCGTCGACGGCCCGTTGAAGGGCCTCTGCTCGGCCCACGCCTGGCGCGACGCGCGGGGAATCACGCCCAGCGGGTTGCCGCCGGCCTCCCCCGCCGCCGCCGCCGCCGCCGCCGCCGGAGCCGCCGCCCCCCCCCGCGGCCTGCAGATGGCCACGAGGGCCTTGAGCTCGGAGCGAAAGCTCTCGTTGAGCCAGCAGTAGATGAAGGGGTTGTAGCAGGTGCTGCTCATGGCCAGCCAGTGGAAGGCGAAGTAGATGCCGTTGTTGGTCTGGATGGCCTGGCTGGAGAGCAGCACCACGTAGCAGTTGAGCGGGAACCAGCAGACGGCGAAGACCACCACCACGAGCATGAGCATCTTGATGGTCTTCTTTTTCTTGCGCCGGTGGGCCACGTACTGCTCGGTGGTGACGTCGCCGATGGCGTTGCGCAGCCACAGCTTCTTGGCGACGGTCACGTAGGCCACGGAGACGATGAGCAGCGGCAGCACGTAGAGCAGCACAAAGGTCGCCTGGTCCAGGGCCTTCCACACCACGTCGGCCGGCTCCGGGAAATCCGGCATGCACATGCTCCGGTAGTGTTCTTTGCTGGAGGAAGAGAGAAATGTTCCTGACATTTTTGTTTTCATTATTTCACCAAGCCGAGCGACGTTTCTCGCAACGGTGGGTGACGCGAGCGGAAGGATACGCGTCGTTTGCGGAGGTTCAAACCCAGCATCCGCCCTGATTAATACTCCGGGTGTACAGCGATGCCCAGGGTTTACGTCTCTCCCACTGTTGCTATGTCGTTTCGCGAATGTCGTCACTTTGTTTGATTGACTCCACGGCCGGATTTGCATCGCCTCGACACTCCCCCCCCCACGCACACTCTCACGTCGCTGACGGCCTCGTCCCTCCGTTATCGGTCCACGTCGCCTCTCAGCCTTCGGCCTCCACCACCACCGCCTACGACTACTGCTGCTACTACTACCCTGTAAATCGCTTTGATTCAGTACGTCGTTTCGACATTCGTTCTCGTGCCTCTCAGGAAAGTATCCCACCCCCACCCCGATGAAAAACCGGGGTGTTGCCGCATTGAGCCAATTTTTTTTACAAATATTTAATATTTTACCAGGTAAGGCCCAATGAGCTACATAGCTCTTTTTCAGAAGCGACCTGGCATTCACAAATGATGGGTCAACGAAGTGGCTGATCATCGTCACGCGGAAATCTATGACAGCCAACCACTCTAATCGCACGTTGATTCTAAACGCGTTGGACTACAGGTCACGTGCACCGCCACGAAGGATTGATGGGTGGCTGCAATTATTGAGACCGCGGCGAGAAAAGCGGAGGGCCGTGAATCATTAACTAACAAATCAAAGTTTAATCTTTTTTGGTTATTGCGGTAAAGTCACGTAGAATGAGAATAAAATAATAAAATAAAACAATAAAATTCTCACGACGTTTCGGCCACAACACAAGTAGCCGTCCTCAGGTGAAGAAACAGGAAACAGGACAGTCCTGTACCGAAAGAACCAAAGCGGATGAATCCTTGCAGTCACGGAAGCTTTAAATAGAAATTTAAATCAAAGTTTCTGAATTCGTATTCGTTCCGGTTGTTGCTTCTTGTCGTCGTGCATGCGCCCTGAGTCCGTCCAGTCGCGCCCGATACTAAACGACCGAATCCGGCGACGTGGGCAGACGGCAGAACAAACTCGCGGTCGCTCGCACACGAACGGGGGGAAAAAAATATATAATAAAGTTAGACCTCGATTCATTCATCCAAATGTCACTGGACGAAGAAAGGAAAATCCTCGTACTGCGGAAAGCTCTAAATGTTTAAACTCGTGGCCTGAAACATCGAGCGAGTTGCAGGCCGCCAATTGGGAAAAGAAATGACCTTGTGTTCCAAACAGTTCAAATAAAAACTTCCTATACAGCTTTCAGAGGCCGGGCGTTTTTAAATGCGTTATGCCACCGCATTGATGTCCAAGGCTCTGAAATGTCACCATCTTTCCGCTCTTGAGCAACACTATGGGTGGACACTGCAGGACAAAAGGGATGTCGAACGGCAAAGGCGAAACCGCCGCTGCAATTCCGGCGGCTTTGAGTTGTCTGTGCACGGATTGTTTCGCGTGAGCGCGGAGTGAAGGCGCAGCGGTTAGCGCACCGCTCAATCACCGAACCCGGGCGACCCGGAGTTGGATTCCCGGCCGCGGCTAACGATCAGTGGCGAGCGATGTCATGGGCAACTCCTTCAACCGACCCACAATGACCAGCGTGGCGAAGTATGGACAAACAACCCCGCCGTGTGCATCAAGGCGTGGGGTGGCCTTTCACCCACCAACGTGGGATTTACCAGGGGCCGTAAATCATTATTCCAAGTAGATAGGCGTGACACTATGGTCGAGACGATTAATGGTAGGGTACATGATCGAGGGTACGTCCGCTGCGGAGATGGAGAGATGAGACCAGCAGGTGCTGGGTGGTGGACCGTTGCATCGCAAGAGGCTGGGAGAAATGGCCACAGCTTTGGGGGGGGGGGGGAGAGGGGAGGCATTCATCCAGCAGTGGATTTTAACGAAAGTGGCGTGATGTTCTCAGGGCACTACGGTGGCGTGATGTTAACTACCTCGCCTGGTATGCAGGAGGTCGTGGGTTAGATCCCGACCCTGACGCCTGCTCTATATTTGGAGTTTGCGTGTCTCTTCTCCCCGTGGTCGCACGGGGAGAGAAAGACGGTTTCTCCTCCATATTTAGAAACGTGGATTGAGATTATCTAGATTCTTTAGGCTGCAAATGATGGGGCTACTTTGTTGAGCTATCATTTGTGGCCAGGTCGCTTCTGAAAAAATAAGTTAATACCTCAGTGGGCTTTGCCTGCTAAGATGGGGGTGGGTGAGTGTTGTACTTTTATGTGTACCGGTGATTTGTTTACTTTTCTTGTACCATGCTCTTTGTATTTTTGTTGTAACGTTCCTACCCGCCCCTACTGAGACATCGGTGAAAGGGAGCTTTACAGCTCACCGGATTCCTCCTCCAGTATAAAGAAATATTCTGATTCCGATTCTGTTTGCCCCCATCGTGCGATGTACGCCTTTGCGTGCGCGTCCGACGTTTCGCTCCACGTGCTGGGAGCCTCTCCGGGGGGATTGAATCGTGCAGGGTGGAGAGAGAGAAAGATAAAGCCGCGTGGAACGACCGCGGCGAGGTGGGAAAGAAAATAAAAAATACATCGTCGCGTCCGTCACGCGTCACGTTCTTCGTCTTCCTCTCCGCAGCGTTCAATAAGTAAAAGTTTAGCGACAAAAAATAGCAACGCGTCTACGATTGTGTTTCTAAATTTGTAAACACATTCCACGCCATCTGGAGGGGCGGGGGGAGGCGGGGGGAGGAGGGGTGGTGGTAGCTGAGTGGAGTCTGCTGGAGTCCGAGGGGGAATGGATATATTGTAGATTTGTAAACACAGCCAGCTCGTGGCAGATCTCCATCCCTCTGGTGTGCCTTAAACACACTGCCATCTGCTAGGGGTGGGCCGGTGATGGGACATCAGCAATGCTTCTTGTGTTATTCATTAGATAGACAGTGGCCCTGCTCATAGCAATAGCACATTACTGGTTCATCCTTCGTCCCAATTTCATCCATAAACGAAACTATTTAAACTAAACTAGTTTTGTTTTAACGGGTAGTAGCTCTTTTTTCAGAAGCGACCTGGCTATCGCAAAGGATAGCTCCACGAAAGTGGCTTGTCGCGTGGAAATGTATAGCGGCAGCCGAATTCTCTAAACGCGTGATGTTGATTCTAAATGTGGAGGGGGAAAAAAAAACCTGAGGACCCGGAGAAAAATCGACACGACCACGGGGAGAGAGAGAGAGACACGCAAACTCCAAATATGCAGCAGGCGTCGGGGTCGGGATGAAACCCACGACCTCCTGCATACCCGGCGAGGTAGTTGACATTTCCTCACCGTTAAAAAACAAATAAATAAATGCGAACCGCCACTTCTTTCAAATGTTTCTTGCCGTTGCTTTTCACACCTGATGACGACCGTTTGTGTTATGGTCGAAACGTCGTGAAAATTTTTATTGTTTTATATATATTTTATTATTTTATTGTTTCCCTTCAACGTGACTTTACCGAAAGAGCGAAGAATATCTCCTCACCAATTACGCTATCGGTGTCACGTCCGTGAGCCCTTCTATGCTGAGGGTAAACCATTGAAAAGTCTATACGGATTAGGTAAACATTTAAATAAAAAAATACCTACTTGCAGTACTGCCCCTTAATCTAATTGTCTATTTATACTGGTAGGAACGAAGTTGTAAACTGAGTGTACCAGCCTGCAATAGATTAATGTCCGTCCGTCAGTCCCCTTTCAATACTTTAACGAAGTGAAATCTCGTGCTGTTGGGTGTAAAATCAGCAATAGACAGCGCAGAGACTTGATATGTCTTATTGCACCCAACATTTGGAAGTAACAATGTCATACAATTGCGCAAAATTCCAATGTTCCTACCAGCCCACCCTGCAGGGACCTGTTATAGAGGACACCTTCACTCAAGCCGCTCTCTGACAGAGCTTACAAGACGGTGATGCAGAATGGAAGGGCGTAGTTGGCAGGGGTCCGCACTACAAGGATTGTACGTACGTGGAGCTATCTTTCGCGAGCGTACGTAGCCAAAATGATGAAAAGTAAGAAGATGTTTTATCTTTTTCCTGCAAAAAAAAAATGGGGAGGTGTTAAGATGTTCAACACCAAAGAAATAGTTATTTTTTTACAATCTGAGTAACAACGTTTCGCCAATAATTACAAATCGCATCATCAGACGACAGCCTAAATGCTTTCAAGCTATCAATTCCGGTTGAGTGATTCTGCACTTGCTCTATTACTATAGTACTATGCTGCCTTCAACTTTTACGAACGACCGGGTGTTTAAGGTTAGCGATTTGTCGTATTATCTGGCTGTATAGCAAATGGAAAACTACAATTACTTTTTGATTTAAAGCTTTCGTGACTGCAGTGACTTTACCGAAAGAACCAAGAATACAATTACTTTACTATGCAAGTAAAACATGTATGTGTTTTAATATTTACGTTTAAAAAAAATGTAGGGCCCCTTTATAACATATGCTACTGGCCCCGCAAGAGCTTAATCCGGCACTGGGGGGTAGAGGTGTCACATGGCAATAACCCAAAGTGTAGGGAGGAATCTGTATAATGCGGCATCCATCATAGGATCGCAATGCACGAAAAGCAGGAAACAAAAACAGAACCGGGGCAACCGCCCAGACTAAGGAGGGAAGGCCACTTTAAAAAAAAATGTGGTTTCAAAGCAGACTTGAAGAGGTTAGGGAGGAAGGGGACGTGAAGGAGTGGAGGGGGGGGGGAGTTAGCGGGCAGTTGCTGTACCTGTACTCGAAACTGAAGAGCTTCTGAAAGACGGCGTGTGGCAGGGAGAAGGCGGTGGCCAGCACCCAGATGACGGAGACGCAGAGTCCCCCCTTGAGCATGGACATGCGGGGTTTGAGCGGGTGCATTATGACCTGGCCGGCGGCACACGGCACGCGAATAAAACACACGGCCACGCGCACACACACACCTCAGCATCCCTGCATGAGCCGGGGGGAGGGGTGATTCAGGTGACCGCGTGCACAACCGACGTCGTTCCTCCGATCGCCGAACGGAAAAGCGTAGACGATTCCGCGGCTCGTTCCGCGCGACACAGCGCTGCTGCGCGCACAGATGAACCGTCAAGGGGCAGTCAACCATCATCAACGCAGCACCGCCGGTCATCCTCATCCTCGCAGCGAGCGGCTTGTGGCTGGCCGTCGAACACAGACGGCGGTCACCGCGTCGCGGGGCGCTTTCGGAGGCGTTTTTGCGGCCGTCTGGAACGCCCCTGCCTTCCTTCAGAACTGCTTTTGGTGTTTCGTTTGTTGTCCTTCGCCTCTGTTTGGCTACGTACGGTGCGAAAGAAGTTCAACAGACAAAGACAAAGATCCCCCGTATAGCTTTAACAAGCTGTAGGGGCAAGTGCTGTTAGCGAGCACCTATGAAGGCCGGAACGGTACACGAGGGGGTGAGTGGCCAGCAGCACCACGCCCGACCGCCTTTGTCTCCCCAGTGGCAATGTTTACACACCGCACCAGGTACTCATTTGAGGCTGAGTCGACCTAGGGGAGGCCCGGGACCGGTTGAGATAATCGTCACTGGTGTTGGCCGTGGGCGGGAATCGAACTGGAGTCGCCAGGTTCGTAGCGCAGCGCGCTAACCGCTACACTATCGCTCCCCACATATGCACATATATACACACACACACACACCTATACATACACCTATACATACACACATATACATAGACACATACACACACATCTGTGTCCACCACAGTGGCTAAACGGGGACTCTGGACGGGTGCGAGGGGCTGGTAACCCATCCACCTTCAATTAATTACCACTAAACTACGACTGAACGCGCACTGCGGAGGAGAGGCTGCCACTCCTCTGTTGGGAGCTGTACCGGTACCGCCTGGATCTCTGTGGCATTCAGGAGGTCCGGTGGACCGGTTCTGGCTCCTGCCACCATGAGGAGTGGACAGTCCTCTACTCGGGGCAGCAGTATGCCAAACAACAGGGTGTGGCTCTTCTTTTGAACAAAATAATGGAGGGGCGTGGAAGCGTGGCGGTGAGGTGTGGGAAGCTGTAAGCCCCAGGCTACTTTGGGCTCGCCTCCCCATCAATCGGAGGCGAGGAGTGTTGGTCGTGGTTACTTATGTCCCCACCGAAGACGAACATCTGTGGAGGGATGCAGGCAAAGCCGATAAGTCGGATGCCTTCTATGACCTCCTGTCACAGGTGCTGGCTAAAGTGGCCCCTCGGGATAGAGTCATCTTGTTGGGTGACTTCAATGCCCGAGTTGGTCATGATGCTGGCACCTGGTCTGGAGTGATTGGAAGGCATGGGCCAGACCAGCTCAATAACAACGGTAGGAGGCTGCTAAATTTTTGTGCAGCCCATGGGCTTGTAATTACCAACACGCTGTTCCTGCATCGGCGCATCCACACAACATCATGGATGCATGCCGGGTCCAAGCAAGAACATCTGCTGGACTGCATAGTGACGGACCAGCGGATGCAAGCCCATGTCCTTGACACCAGGACCTACCGTGGAGCTGATCTGCCCTCTGACCATCGACTTGTCATCTGTAAGATGCGCCAGCCATTCTTCCGCTCCGGTGGTGGGTGTACACCCAGGACCCCATTCTAACCTAAAGTGGCCTGGTCTCAGTTATCTGATGAAAGTTGCAAGTGAGAATTTCATCATCGCTTGCGGCTGGGGTTGGCATCGTCCCCCACTCCTCCTGATGTCGAGGGTAAATGGGCGAGGTTTAGGCCTGTGACTCATGCAGCTGCAATGGCTGCTTTGAGTACGTGGTCCAGACCTCCCCAGAGACCCTGGCTGACAGAGGTGTTCAGGATGGTTGAGAAAATCCTTGCCAGAATCCCACGTCAGAGAATGAGGAGGCTTACCGCAGCCTTCGCTCGGAGGTTCGGAGAGCTGTGAGGCGCTGCAAGGATGGGTGGTGGTCGCGGGTTGTTTAGGAGATGGAGTCTGCCTCAGTGGCCCGCGATCACAAATCTCTATTTAACTCCATCAAAAAAGTAACCTGCAGCGCCACACCTGTTACCATCATTAGGGGGAAAAAAGGTGATCTAATCTCCGACCCCCAAGAACAGGTTTGCAAATTTGCTGAGCATTTCTGTGAGGTCCTGGGGGTGGGAAAATCCCTCAGCCAGGAAAACATCGTGGCACAAAAGTGAGGATGACCCTGTTGAGGCTGTGCACCCTCAAATATTGGAAGAAGCCACCCCCTATGAGTGGCTGGCTGAAGTGCCATCTGTTGAGGAAGTACTGAAGGCGATCAGGAGTCTGAGACCAGGAAAGGCAGCGGGCAGAGATGGTCTCCCAAGCGAAATGCTGAGGGAGGGTGGCGTTTGTGCACAAACTGCCCTATATGACATCATAATAACAGTCTGGACCACTGGGCGGGTTCCGCAGCATTGGAAGGATGCCCTGGTGGTCCCCCTCTTTAAGAAGGGGGACCGCACAGACTGTAACTACAGGGGCATCTCACTCCTCAATGTGTCAGGAAAGGTCCTGGCAAGGATTATTCAACCTCGCCTTGCCAGGCAAGCTGAGGAGAGGCTTGCGGAGCCCCAATGCGGTTTCAGGAAAGGGCGGTCCTGCACAGATGCCATATTTTATGTCCCTCTGCTACAGCAGAGGTGTAGGGAATTCCAGCAAGACCTACACACATACATACAACACCTATACATACACACACATAAACATACACACAGACACACACCGATTCACACATACACACACACACACCTATACATACATACACACATATACATACACACATACGCATATATACATACATACACAACAACAACAACCGCCATTCGCCACTAAGTGGCGGTGACGTCATCACGACGCTTGTGCCAGGCTATGTGCACCTTGAGGCCATGTGAAGTGTCGAACGCCCGCTGGCAGGAGGTCACGGGGCAGACCCAGGTGCCACGGGTCGACTGACTGAGATGACTGAGATGACTGGCTGATGCACCACCTGTGCCCCCTACTGTGCCAACCTGCTGTGCTTTAGCCACCCGGCGCTCCGCTCGTTGTTGTGAGCGTCGCTTCTCCGCCCTCCGTTGTTGTTGGAGGGCGACTACCTCCAACTGCCCAGTAGCGTCCTTCACGAGCCTCCTCTACAGAGGCCGATCTTGACACCGCTGGTACCAGTCATCGGCAAGTCCACTCAGCTCCACGTCCTCCTGTACCACATCACTCCATCTCTTCTCTAGCCCGTGCCGCGCCCGTTTAGCCCCCTCGATCCGGCCGAACAAAAGCTGTTTCGGCATGCAGTGGCTGGGCATGCGGGCTACATGACCCAGCCATCGCAGCCTTGCCCGCCAGAGGAGCTCACCGATGGGACCTTGCCCAGATCTTTCAAGGATTTGTGAGCTCCTCACACAATCCAGCCTGGTTAAACCCATGATGGATCGTAGGCAGGCCAGCCTAAATGTTTCTAACCGGCGAAGATGTTCCATTAGGGGGGTCCACGTTTCGCAAGCGTAGAGAAGGGAGGAAATGACCGTGGCCGAGAAGACCTGGAGCTTAGTGCAGAGCGACAGACCAGGTAGCTTCCACACAGCGTTACGCAACCGATGAAAAGATATTGCCGCTCGACTGATTCGGAGAGAGACCTCTGCTGTTAAACTGGAGCCGGTCATAAGCACACTGCTCAGGTATGGGAAACTCTCCACTCTCTCCACAACTGCCCCACCACTGATTGGGAGTTGTGGGGGTTGAGTGTCCGATGGTACAAAATACCCAGGCAGGTGCTTAGTTTTGGTGGGGCTGATGGTAAGGCCCCATCTCTTAGTGGCACGCTCCAGTCTCAGCAGCAGCGTCTCCAACTCCTCCTCTGAATGAGCAGCTATTACCAAATCATCGGCATACATAACGTGGTTGAGCAATAGGGAGCCATCCCTTGACCGCACCCGGGCATCGATCTGTACCATATGGAGATTCCCCCGGTACAGCTATTGAAGGCTTCACGAACTACGTGGTCAAAATAGATGTTAAATAATGCACACACACATACCGTGTGTATGTATGTATATGTAAATGACGTCCGTACCCGTATCTTACATCGATATATACAGCAGCGCCTTTGTTGCAAGGCGCTTTACGGCAATTATAAAAAAATTGTACATGAGACGATAGTGCTTGAGATAATTGAGCAGTGTGGGGGGGGGGGGGAGTTAAAAGTGGCTGCACAGCTTTAGTGTCAGGAGAAGGGGAGGGAGATTTCATGAGAGGCCCCCGGTCAATTCGCTCATGGACGAGGGACATCCCCACGACCGTGCCGTTTCTTCGGAGTTATATGACCATACTTCACTATTGCTTGTTTGGCAAAGGGGGTCCCAAGACAGTTTGAGATATCGCTCGCCTCGTGACGTTTAACCGTGGCTGGGAATCCAACTCAGGGGGCACCGGGAGGCCTCGGCGCAGTGCAGCCCAAGGAGTCCGTCTTGGAATTCGTCCTTCTGAACAGCGTTTCTCGAGCGCCGAGTTGTAATCCTTCGCTATTTCACTGTCGTTGCGTTTCCCCTGATTACGGCATTCTGTGCATCGCCACGGTCGCTGTAATGTGGAGGCGAAAGCTGCGTTGAAATATTCAAGAGCATCAGCTGGGCTCGGTCTCCTCTCAAAATGCGAATTACTGTTGTGCGAAACCGAATGATGAAGTGTAATGGAGGAATGTGAAATTAATCGCGTGCTATGCGGCGTTGAAGTGTTATGTAATGGGGGGGGGGGAGTCGTGCAGCAGCAGCAGGAATACTGGGTGGTAGCTTTTTCGCGATTGTGCCGAATGCCTCTCCGACCGTGAATTCTTGCTCGCACTACTACTGTTGGGCATGACGTCCGACTTTTATTTTGCTCTTTCAGGAAACAGAATGGGCCCCACGGAGGTAGACACAACGGAGCTACCTCCGAGATCCCTTTCACGTGACCTCTGGTCCACATTTACAGCAAGAGAGCAGCGCCTTCCTGTCTTGCTCGTGCACGTGAAAGCAATGCTCGTCACGTGGTACGATAACAAAAAAATGTTTTATCTCCCTCGCCCGGTATGGAGGTTGTGGGTTCGATCCCGACCCTGACGCCTGCTGCTGTGTATTTGGAGTTTGCGTGCCTCTTATCATCATCATCATCACGGTGGCTAAGAGATGTTAACTACTTCGCCTGGTATACAGGAGGTCGTGGGTTTAATCCCGACCCTGACGCCTGCTGCGGTATATTTGGAGTTTGCGTGTCTCTCTCTCATCATCATCACGGTGGCTAGGAGATGTTAACTACCTCGCCTGGTATACAAGGAGGTCGTGGGTTCAATTCCGACCCTGACGCCTGCTGCTGTATTTGCAGTTCGCGTGTCTCTCTCCCTCCCCCGTGGGTGCGTGGATTTTTCTCCGGGTCCCTCCGGTTTTTCCCCACCACGTTTAGAATCGACTTCACGCCTTCAAAGTATTTGGCTGCTATAAATGTCCACGTGATGATAAGCCACTTCGTTGAGGCTATCATTTGTGATAGCCAGGTCGCTTCTGAACAAAAAGGCTACATTGCTCAGTGGAGCCTTACCTGGTAAAATAAAATAAAAAATCTTTCAATCCAAGTTCATTGTCATATAACCATGCAATGTGATGGTAGACTTGTTTTGGTGTAGTCATTGGTGACCGGGCTCAGACAGTCATCTCGCTAGACTCGAGAACCCGGTTTAAATCGCAGGCAGTGGCCGAACCCCGGATTCGAAACCAGGAATCTCAGCGATGCCGTCTCTGACCTTTGACCTCCGATCTCTGACCTCCGAGCCACCCGGCCATCTCGCGCTCGACAATTTCTTAAACGGCAGTTTGGTTGGCCAGCAAACTGTGACGCACTAAAAGTCAAAACGCGCGGGATTTTTATTCTTAAAAAAGCGTCTCCTGTCGCGAATCGCAACGAAACGTTTGCGTTAAATTTATCTTCGGAATTATTTTGCTATAGGCGATGTTTCATTCTCGTGGGTATCGCGAGCGGTGCGGATGGCATTCGCCTCTCCAAGCGATCTAACGCGAGCTCGAAGAGGGCAGTTAATTTAGTTTTATAACACTTAACGATATCACCATTTTTCATGGTGTGCAGAAATTACAATACAAAGATCTTACATTCTGAATAATCCATGCACTGGGAACTACGAAACGTCCAAACATCTAATTAAATTTGACTCAATTATGTCCTTTAAGCAAGATGAAAGCCCCATTATTTTTTCTTTTCATTATTGGTCAAGAGCTTTTCTACCATGATGATATATGTTTTTTTAATTTTATTTCACCAGCAAGATACCCAATGAGCTGCCGGGGGCTATTTCATGCGCGTACTGCGACGGATTTCATTTTCCATGTAACGTGTCGGCAACCGTCATACCAGCCGTGCTATTCAGCCCCTGTAAATTGTCCCATGCTATGTAACGTGATTCTGAGTCAGAATTTGCTCGCTACCGTCGTATTGCCATTGAAAAAAATTACTTCAGAGCTCAATGAGGCATTTTCGGAGATAAAGAGACCAATTTAAATCTCGCAAAATCCTTCCCCCTCATTTATCCCCTCACCCTCCACCCCTCTTTGTGTGCTTCATCCTAGGGGGGAGGCGTGGGGATGTGGGGGGGGGGGGGGCTCCTTCATGGTGATGCGACCAAAGGTACACACGTGCGATGCGAACAGTGATGACCTTATATTCTTAGTTCTTTCGGTAAAGTCACGTTGAAGGGAAACAGCAAAATAATAAAATATATAAAAAACATTTTAAAAAATTTTATATATTTTATTATTTTGTTGTTTCCCTTCAACGTGACTTTACCGAAAGAACTAAGAATATGAATTACTGCAGTCACGAAAGCTTTAAATCAGTGATGACCTTGTTTTTTTGTACGTGTAGCAATGTAGTATATTTCTTTTTTAGTCTAAACTCAGAATCAAAAAGTTATTTTAGTTTTTTTTTCTTTTCCAGAAGAAATTCGACGTGTTTTAAAAGCTTTTTTTTTTTTACAGGTGTCCAGTCGGGGCGGTTTAGAAAGTTACAGAAACAAACGAAACAAAAAAAACACGATCGGAGTGCAAAATGTAGGAAAATAATTCAATTCTCGGCCCGTGGCTCAGAGCAGCCGCGGGTGATTCTCTGAACCGGGTCCGGTCTCTACCCACCCCACCCCCTCGTCCACCAACCTGCACCGACCAGCGTGGTGAAGTATGGCAAAACCATCCCCACGTCTGACACGGTCGTTGGGAAGCCTTCAGCCAGCAGTGGATTGACATTTAAAACAAAAAGATCAAGATTAACGAAACTATATATTTTTTTTTATTTCACCGGGTAAAGCCTCACTGAGCTATTCGTTATTTTACAGAAGCGGCTCTGGCCACCAGTGACAAGGTCCACGAAGTGGCCGATCGTGACGAAATTTACAGCGGCCAAATTCTCTAAACTAAATATCGCTGTTCTTGGTGACGCGATAATGTTGTACAGCAGTGCCCTGCGCACACGCGCTGGAGGGAAAGGGTCTGAGACTTCATCGGTTGGCGAGCGCGTGCCGAGAACACGTTAAATAAATCATTGCAGTTTAATTGTAAATGCCAACCTGGAATACGGGAGGGAGGGCAGTATATACAAATGGTGTAATCAAAATGTTCTAATGCATGAAGCATACGTTTTACTTGTAGAACCTCTGGCTACACCAGCCCACATGGGGATTATTGTGTCCGTCCGTCGTGCATCCAAAAATGGGAGGGGTGGGGCTGGGTGGAGAGGGGAGGGGCTGGGTGGGGAGGGAGGGGCTGGGTGGGGGGTGGGAGGGGTGGGGCTGGGTGGGGAGGGTGGGGAGGGGAGGGTGGGGAGGGTGGGGAAGGGCTGGGTGGGGAGGGTGGGGAGGGGCTGGGTGGGGAGGGTGGGGAGGGGCTGGGTGGGGAGGGTGGGGAGGGGCTGGGTGGGGAGGGTGGGGCTGGGTGGGGGGGTGGGAGGGGTGGGGCTGGGTGGGGAGGGGCTGGGTGGGGAGGGTGGGGAGGGGCTGGGTGGGGAGGGTGGGGAAGGGCTGGGTGGGGAGGGTGGGGAGGGGCTGGGTGGGGAGGGTGGGGCTGGGTGGGGGGGTGGGAGGGGTGGGGCTGGGTGGGGAGGGGCTGGGTGGGGAGGGTGGGGAGGGGCTGGGTGGGGAGGGTGGGGCTGGGTGGGGGGGTGGGAGGGGTGGGGCTGGGTGGGGAGGGGCTGGTCACCCCGTGGTGCCCTTACAAATCTCAACGTTTAACCTACTCACGCCGGCTTGTGCCCGCCCTCACAGTCGGGCATATTGTGCTGAACGCACCACGTGGTGGTGCTGCCGTGTGACCCTGGCCATTGACCGAGCAACCCAACGTTCCTACCAGCTCTTCCCTCCGCAAGAGAATGTGTTTTATAATAACTTCCTAAGCAGGCAGCCTACGAGGCTTTAAGTAAATGGCTCCGAATGGGATTGGAGTGAGGACACGGCGACTTGACTTGGGCCATAATTGCCATCTCGTGTCGTGCCCTATCCACTGTGTACCTTTCGCTGGAAGCTCCAGCGAAACGTCGACGGTGCTGGACGCACTCTGCGGCGACATCGTTGTAGCAACGCGTCGAGTGTTGCTTGCTGCTCAACGTCCCTCTGCTCGTGCTGACCAACCGAATCAAATGGCACATTTGACCCCGAGCCCACGTGACAACTCGATTTGATTGGCTCTGTCGCCTGTCGCAGCGGGAGGGTGTCAGAGCGGCGTTCTTCATTGCAAGGCCACCAGTGGCCATCGGTGGCCCCTGGTGGCCTTTAATGCGGTCCCTGACCTGCGGACCCCGACAATACGCAAAGAGTGAAAACACTCCCTCCCCCCCCCCAGCATCATCATCGTGCTGCTGTCAAACTCCCAATGGTTTCAAATGTGTGGCGGCCCCTCACACTCATGATGATGTCCCATCGACGAAAGTGCCTCCCCTCTGAAAATGAGTGGAGAAAAAACTGCGTTATAGTTACAACATTGACGATTGTACCTTCACGATGTAACCCGAAAGAGACCAATTACGAATGATTATGATTATTAAAAAAAATGTTTACGTAACGTGGGCGAGCGCTCGATTTCAGACGTCGCGGCGTGGTTACCTGATATCGATCGAGCGCGATGGCCGTGAGCGTGAGTGTGGACACGTGGAGCGAGCAGTACTGAGCGAAGCGGCTCACGTGACACATCGTCTTGCCGAACACCCAGTTGCTGTTGACGAATCGAACCTGGCAAGACACAGAGAGGGGCAGGCATGCACGCAACCGCACGTGCGTCGTCACGGGGTACAGCGAGAGATGCAGACCGTGTCCATCCGGTAACAGGGACTCCTCTACTTACGAACGGCTCAGGTTCCAGAGGTCTGTTCGTAAGTCGATTTGTTCGTAAGTCCAACTTTACTCCCGTCGATTCCAAACACGTTGTACGGCGTGTACACTAAGCACGGAGGAATGGTTTTAGAAGTTGTATAACCTCCTGTAGATGCCACCAGTTCTTCACGTTATACAGATGTAGATACCACCACCGCCATCAGCGGTAGAACTTACGACTCTCGATCTGAACAGGCAACTGGACACCGGGACAGGTTTGTTCGTATCTGTGAAAGTTCTTAAGTCGAATGTTCGCGAGCAGAGGAGTCCATGTACTCGCTGAGCTGCATTGGCCTCCGGTTACCAAACGATAGACGCTGTGAGGTCGCACTCATCACACACACAAAGCGCCCGCCACAAATGAACCACAATACCTCGCTGATCTTGTCAAGGAGCATGAACCACAATCGCGCGAACTCTGCGGTCAACCCCGCAGCTTTTGGCTCAGCCATTGAACAAAGTCGACAGTCGCCGCATCGCACGGCGCCTTCAGATGCGCGTATGCGGCCGTCTGAAACGCTCTTCCTTCCAATATTAGGAAGCCACTGAAGCTATTAACTTTTAAATGATCTGGATTAAAAACTGATTTCTTTAGAACTGCTTTTTGGTATTTAGTGTGTTGACCTTCCCCCGCACCTCCGATTAGCACGGTTAGCTACGTACGGTGAAAAATAAGTTCAACATACATACTTCATACAATAGAAGGATGGGGCGGGAGGGAACATTATCTGGACCTCTGAGTGGATTCCTGTCTGCCTAGACGCCACGCGCCCGAGTGCGCGTTTGGTGACGTCATCGCGTGCGTCTGAGCGTTGACGTCACCCGTATCCCCAAGGTGCTGAGCCCGGGGCCGGGGTTCGTGCGTCACGCTGACGTCGCATCGCCCGCCACCCACCCCTCCTTACAGGAGCACTTTACTTTAAGGACATTGCCATCCCGGGCGAGGCTAAACAGTTGGGCTGTAAAATTTTGATTTGAAGCTTTCGTGACTGCAGTAATTCATATTCTTAGCTCTTTCGGTAAAGTCACGTTGAAGGGAAACAATAAAATAATAAAATATATATAAAACAATATAAATTCTCACGACGTTTCGACCATAACACAAACGGTCGTGTTATGGTCGAAACGTCGTGAGAATTTATATTGTTTTATATATATATTATTATTTTATTGTTTCCCTTCAACGTGACTTTACCGAAAGAGCTAAGAATACAGTTGGGCTGTAGTTGGAATAAAACTCGTCACTTACCCAGTGCCGGATTAAGCTAGTGCGGGGCCTGTAGCATCTGTTATAAAGGGACCCTAAATAAAATAAAAACGTAAATATTAAAACATTTTTTTTTTTACCTGCATAGTAAAGTAATTGTATTTTTTTCATTTGCTATACAGCCAGCTAATACGACAAATCGCTCACCTTAAACACCCAGTCGTTCATAAAAGTCGAAGGTGGTATAGTACTTTAGCAATAAAGTAAGTGCAAAATCACTGAACCGGAATTGATAGCCTGAAAGCATTTAGCGTGGGCCCTTGAAAGTGCGGGGCCCTTAGCTACTGTTGCTCCTAGGGTAATCGGGCACAGCACTTACCCCTCGTCTGTCCAATTTATTGCGAGTCGAACGAGGTGCTGCACGTGGTGATGGCGTCTAAATTGAGGCCAGGTTGATTTTTTTCTCTAGCCAAGGTCACTTATTTTTTCTGCTTCCGTTGACCTTTGGTAGGTCGCAGCTTTGAAGGGGTAAAACGAAAGAAAATAATTAAGTGGCATTTCTTAACTCAGCAAGGCCCCAATGAAAATCTCGCAGGTAAAAAAAAAATGTTTCTTGCCTCGCGACATCTGGGAAAGGTCGGCCAACCGGATCTTGGTCGGAGTTGGAACGACCCAAAATTACTCGGCGGCAATTTACTCAATTTAGGATTTCTGCAAACATCGCAATAAATTATTACCCACCCCCACCGCCACCACCTCTCGCTGCGAAAAGCTTGGTACGAGCCTTCTCAATGAGACCCTACATCCCTAAAGTCCGCCTGATGAAGCTGGTTGTAATTACAGATTATAAATGTTGTGGCTTCACTCTCCAACACACCGGTGTGCTGTACGAGTGACAAATTGGCACGTTCTGTTTATGTGACAACCCTTACTAGTTGGCTGTGTCGGGTGGTGGCGGGTTTAACGACATATGTATATATTTACGCGATCTAACCCCAAAAATATATATTATGGATAAATATATATTTTACCTGGAACAAAAAAAAAATCGCTTGTATGTATGTTGAACTTCTTTCGCGCCATACGTAGCAAACCGTGCTTGAGATAGAACATCTCATTTGTAAAGGGTTGTCCAAGGTGTCAATTGACACAATATTTTATTCATCACAAAGGGTTTTGGGTTACATCGCGTGAGTATAAATATGTCGTAACCCTCCACCACCCGACACAGCCAATTAGTAAAGGATTTGTCACGTAAACAAAACGCGCCCAATTTTCAGTTTCAGTTTTCATTTTCATTTATTTGGTATAGCCCTGTGAGCCATTCGGCTCTTGAATCGGGTACAACCGCAACAAACAAAAACCAAAAACATGAACAAGAAAACATCTTTAATTTACTATGTGACTGTGCAAACAGAAAATCCAAGAAAAGACAGCAAAATATTTCAGAAAAAGCACCGTACACCAACGCTGTGTGCAAAAATCCCAGTGGGATGCAAGTCAAACAACAACAACAACAACAACCACAAGAAAACTTAGATTAAGGCCATCAGTCTAACTCCGTACTACAACAAACAAACATGGCCAAACCAAAAAACTTTTCGAAATCACCAAAATAAAGCCATAAAAGCAATGTAAGTGATCATAGGAACTACTTCAGCCCACCGGTGTGTTGGAGAGTGAATCCACAACATTTACAATTTGACTAGTACGACGTTTCGCTGATGATTACATCAGTCAGCATCTTCGGGCGCTTTCTGGCAAATCGCCCGATCTAACCCAGAAACCGTGATTGAGAACGAGTTTGTTTGCACGTCCTAGGCCGGAAGCTGTAATGTTTACGAAAAATGTTATCAGAGTAATAATTGTATCTTGTGTAAATGTCATGGCAGTGAATCTTGCACGAAACTACGTCATCAAACACTTCACTACAGTTCGCTGTAGCACTGTATCAATGGCAGTGATTATTGCACGAAACTACGTCATAAAACACCTCACTTCATATCACTGTAGCACTGTTTATAAACTGACCTTTAATTTGTTCAAATTCACTGCTCTGATACTTATTCTCTTCTGCTTTCGGTCGCTGGGGTTGAAATAAATGGGAATTTGATACAATATCTGGAAAATCACCGAGAAATATCAATGTTACCATAACGTAGAAGCATAAATTAGACTTACCCTTTGTCTCAAGTGCTGAAGAAATAAATAAAGACACCAAATGACACTTTGTTGCTGTGTATAATTATTTATTAGATTCACTTTCAATAAAGGAACGTCAAACTTAAAGCGAATTTGCGAAAATAATGTCTTTCTGCTCGACCTTCTTCTGTGTGAATGTAAAAAAAAATCCACCTCATGAATATTAATGACGGGAGTGGGGGGGCCTGTGAGTAATACTATTAGTCGCTAAAGCCTACGTGTTAAACTGACATTCTTTTATGTACACCAGATATAGTAAAATATATAAAATACCCCTAGAATGTGAGGTGCAAGTGACTCATTTAGAGATAACAATAATATAAGCAAAGGTGTGCGGGGATTCTCCAGTTGTGATGGGGTTTTTAAAAATCATTTACACGAAGTGTTGGGTTGTAATCAAACAACTCATTGCGATCCAGTGGAGCCTCATGTGTCTCTGTGTGTGTGGTAGTGTGGAGTGGTGGTGCAGTGGTTAGCGCGCTGCGCTACAAACCCGGCCACCCAAGTTCGATTCCCGCTCACGGCCAACACCAGTGAAGATTATCTGAACCGATACTGGGCCTCCCCTAGGACGACTCAGCCTCAAATGAGTACCTGGTGCGGTGTGTAAACATCGCCACTGGGGAGACAAAGGCGGTCGGGTGTGGTGCTGGCCACCCACCCCTTCGTGTATTGTGTCAGCCTTCATAGGTGCTCGCTTAACTGCACTTGCCCCAACAGTCTGTTAAGGCTATATGGGGGATCTTTGGGTTTTTTTTATCCACAGCCACTGGGTATCCATCTCAATCCTCGAGGTCCCACGCGATACTTCTTTAAGTGGCAATCTCAATCTTGAAAGGAAACCAATCGAAGGGGCGAAAGTATCTGTAAATGTGGCATTTAGCCTATTTTTAAAACCGTGGTGGGTTTGTTTTTGCTGAGTTCGCGTGAACAGCTCACGAGGATGTAAATTTTCAGCGAATGACATTAACCGGCTCTTTGATAAATTAGGTGGTGAAAACACAGAGTCGGGCTCATAGTCTCCTGCTGTGTGTGTGTGTGTCTCTCTCTTATTATGACTGCATGCGTTTAAACACAATTATTTCACTTGTTGGTGAAGTTGTGAAACGCGAGGCTTATTGGCCCCTGGTATTCACACAACAGCCTAAGATTGTGAACTGCGTAGCAAGATGTTGTACATTGTCTACTTAATAGTGCATGGCCTCCTCTACTCACGAACACTCGACTTACGAACTTTCAGAGATACGAACAAACCTATCCGTATGTCGAGTTGCCTGTTCGGACCCGAGAGTCGTAAGTTCACCCAATAGATGGCGGTGGTGGCATCTACATCTGCAGAACATGAAGGACCAGTGGCATCTACATCTACAGGAGATGATACAACTCTTAAAGGCATTCCCCCGTGTTTCGTGTACATGGCGTACAACGTGTTTGGAATAGGCAGGAGTAA